CTAACGAAAGAGTGAGCATTAGAACGATAGCAATAATAGTAGGGTATATCTGTAAAAAGAGGACTTACTTATATTTAATTCTACAAGTTAATACACATATTAACATTCTTTCCATTTAAATTTCATTATATAAATCATTATATGACATTCGATATATATCTACCATTTATCAGAAAAGTATCTCTACAAAATAGTAAAACTATCACTGCCGCTTTTATTTTAAATGTTGAAATGCAAAGACTTCTTCAAAATAAATGATTTAAATGCTTTAAACTGATGAATATAATCTAGAACGCTTTCATAAAGATATGTATTGCTTTCAGGCATAAATTAATATAAGTGTAAACACAACGAAACTCACGAACATCTCGTACCAATAAACACGAGTATGCTCGTGACCGATCAACGAGGTGTTAAGATTTTAAACAAGTTTTCCCTCCGAAAAAGTTCAAAAACCATTAATAAAACTAATTACCGAGTGTAAATGTTCTAAAGTAATAATCCTTCACGTTCGGTCGCTTAAAAAGAGTAAAAAAAACACTTACGAACACGAGAAAGTCAGTTAAAGCCTAAAACAAACACCAAGCACAGACGTCTATCAAATGTCAATCAAAGGGTATACAATTTGCAATTGAAACGTGTACGAACAAACGTTTCTTTCTCGTTAACTGAAATTGAACCAAGCAAAGCCAAACACGTATTCCAGCAAACCCGCGTTATCCGAAATCGGACGGAATATTTTTGCATTCGCAGCGGATTGAATGCGCATAGAGAAGCATAGAGGGAATAAGAATAGAGGCGACGGAGCAGGCATCGAGACCGAGCACAAGAAGAGGCGTGTGCGCCGCGTACACGCGTTCGCGTTTGTAAATGTTGTAAAAGGCGGTAGCAAACGGGGCCCGCTTTAATCCACTTTAGAGCGCGCCGCCGGCGCTTTCGACACCGCGGAAAGCGTTAATTGGAGACCGCGCCTCGATCGGGCAAAGAAAGCTTTTCAGAGCGAAAACCTGGTCGCGTGATAACGCCACCAGCTTTTTTCCAGGACAAGAAGGAAACGCCATTTCTTCCTTCTCATACACCCGGTATATACGCCAGGTACATGCACACGAACATCTGAGTTCCATCCGCCGAGCATCAAAGCTCCGGAGCACGATGACGTTTCCATTGAAAACTCCTGCCATTATGTCCTTCTAATGAGACATTATTGCGCGAGCATCGCAGACACCAGATTTCAGGCAAACGAAAACGAATGAAAATTCACGCGGGAAGTCACTGATGTATGATCATATAGAACACGCTGTTTCCCTGAAGAGATTATTGTGGCTATTATAAAGTATCGAATATGATGTTTCATGTTTCGTCACGAATAATTGTACAGGTTTTTTTTTAAATATTCCACAAAGTAATATTAGATAATTGATTAAACGTTCATTGAACCGAATACGTATAAGAAAGTATTAGGATGGTCAAGCAATCTTATCGTTTTAGTTTTCAATATGGCATTTGCAATGCAATGTATAACTAAATATTATGAATAAGTAAATTAAAAGACAATAAAAACCTTCCGAATAAAATACGAACTGAAATTTTTCTTCCAATTTCATTTAAAAATGCGATGATAGTTGTTAGTCAATTTAATATATAAGGATGACCTCCAATGAGTTTCTGACTAATAGTTTGACTGTCAATCGCTTGAAATTATTTACAAATATTTGATAATTGATGTATGAGACTAAATCGGAGGTTGTCAGCAACTGATTAACGATATAAGAATTATTGGTTTCAAATTACTACATGAAGGAGGCGGTTCCATGTAGATGTTTGCGAATAATTCGACAGTTTGTCAAACTTGTATACAATTAATATAGGGTTAACGGCTGGAGAATGACCACTTTCAAATAACTATGAAAACAAGAAATGTCTGTGAATGTTTGAAACTGTTCAAAACGTGTGTTTGATTTGTATTAACTAATACGGGATTGATAGTTTCAAAACAATTTCTAATTAGTTTTACTTTAAAGAGTGCAGAATTTTCTAATCAAACACGTAAAATATATAACTAGGTAAATAAAAAACATGATTGAAAATTATGTTCAAAAGACACCACGATTGCGTTAAGTTTGCGAACGTCTTCTAGTAGCAAGGAACTATTGTTTAATAATTGTTCATGGAGCAGTTTCATGGAACTATTGTTCCATAAATTGGTAATAGAAATTCGACTTTGTTTCATCTACTAACTGTAGATCCATATTCCTAAATACTGTGATCAATCGTTAAACGTTACTGGATATATTGAAAAATGTCGTAGAAATATAAATATAAAGAAATACAATAGATGTGTTAGCCGAAAAAGAAATACTTTTACAAATGAAGCATTGAAATTTTAGTGACAATAAACGAATGAATTATTCGACAAGGGAACATACATTTTCAATATATTTGCATGAAGGGTAACAAATTTTCACACAAAAAGGGTACTGTTGTACCAAAATTAGAAGCTATCGAAGATATTTCAGTTTCCTTTGAATTCTCCGGTAGCCGCCACTGGGGATAAACGTGGATAAAACAGCAACCTGGACGACACCATCGTGATATACGACTGTTTGTCCAGATTAGACCCGACAAAGGAAACTGTTCTCTCTTCTTGACTCTGTTTTGATTTAAGCGGACCGCTCCGTATTTGCTCTAGATTAAATGGAGTTCCATGGCACAAGCTATACAGCGTCCTCTCTACGGTATCTCGCACGCTATACTAGACTGTTGTATATAGTATATTGTATTCATAACGTGTTCTCAGCGAAAAAGGTCCTCACAATGTTCTTGCATGTGTAGGTTTGCAACCATTTAATCAGATTGTAAATTGGAGTAGAATAACAGCATCGACTCATATTAAAATGTGTTATTGCAAATTTGATCGTAGTCCAATTTACGTGGATTGAACGTGTTTCAGAGGGTGCATATTAAAAATTGAACCGTTTCGAGCTCGATAACCGGTAAACTGGTAACAGTTACCAGACACTCATCGCTGAGAATCTATGCATCATGGTTCATTATCGAAGTCATGCACAAAGGGACCCTGGAGCGGTCCCGATAAAATATAAAGTAATAATGAAGTTAACCATATAATCAGTGAGATTACGTTAATAGCTGCATGTCAAGTAGTCGAGGGAAAGAGGAGAAGCGAGACGTTGGGACGATGGAACGAATTTGCTTTTCTTATAGCCAGCTACCAAGCACCAATAGCAAGAGATTGGGCCTGTGGATGAAAGTGTCCCAGTAATGATTCTTGCAATTTACCTTTTTTCTCATCTTCGTTAGTCACTCGTGTCATTTTGCTCTTTGTGGGCTTTTAAATCAACCGCGAATTTGTGAAACGAGCCCTTCCCGTCCCTCATCTTCTTTTGTTTACCTCTTTTTCTACTTTCTATTCCACGTCGACAGAGATAAAAATTTCTTGTCTCTTTCCAACTTTGAGACAGTAATAACGAAGTTCGGTAATCAAGCTCGTCTTGATAGGTTCCAAAGGAGACAAAGGAAGATAGACTGCAATTCGTATGGGCTACGTGTGCGTTCTTATAATTTGTTGTAAATTGCAAATTATTTAGTAATCAGCATAGGAATTATAGTAAATTATATGTCGATTAAACAGAAAGCTAATCCACATATGTGTATTGTAATTTTGGTTTCTTAATTCCATTGCAGATGGTAAGTTTTGAGAATCGGTTTAGTTCAACTTTCCGTAACGAATTTGTAGATAATATCATTTATTGTTTTACAAAGTTTAAAGTTAGACTTTCAAGATACTACATTCTACATATAAAAATCAATGTATTAGCTTCTATGAATCACATAAAACCAAAGTTCGAAATAATTTATATTTTTTAACAAGCTAGAAATGTAATTAAAAAGAAGACTTCACATTTTTAATTTTTTAAAAAATGACGGCGTTTATCGAATACCAAAGAATGATGTTCTTACAATTTTTCAAATGTAAAAGTTCAAAACTTAATTATTTTATTTCAACTACAACTACTTTATAAACACCAAACAAATGTATCTATACTAAATAATAATTTTAATCAAGTCTGTAAGTAATTTATAAAGAAGAAAGAAACATAAGGTGTATTTATTATTTTTAGTTTGACACACCGACTAAGCTGATAGCAAAGTCGATAAAAAATTCATGCGGATATATTAATATCCAAATCTAAATTTTATATAATTCAATTGCGAATATTTTATTATTATTTCCGTTAAATTACAGCTAGTATTTAAATGTAAATAAAAAAAAGACATAGAATAAATTAGTCCCGACTATCGATAACCAAATTTCCAATTCTGTATTTTAATTTAAATTTTTGAATGCCTACAAATTCCCCTGACCAATCACATTGTTAAAAATTGGAATCATTTAATGCAAGTAAAATTAAAAAAAATGAACTTCCGCAGTTATTCACTCGGAAGGATAATACATAATTAAAAAAAAGGTTTATAGCCGTCATATAACGGAAATCACGTATTCGCCACTCGGCGTCGATTAAAATATAATTACTCTCATCGAGTACAAGCCGAATCCCTCGTCGCACGCGTCGCGTCTGGCTGTTGAAAAATAAATGACTTCGCGACAGAGGCATACGCGGCGTGTACGCGCGGTGAAAATGCAACAAGTAACATTCGAGTGCAGAAAACAAAAGCGCGCGCGGGCGCGCCGCAACTGATTCATAAGCGTCGCTTCTGTTTCTCGATTTTCTCCCCGATGTGAGACACGTTATGCTTACCAGCCGGGAGCCGGGTGCATTCGGTGACGACGGGTAGCTGATATCTCCAAAAATGCGGCCTGATTGCACCCTGTCGTAAATCTTGCCGGTGTGTTTGCGAATCGCAATTTTAATTCTCCCCTTGGCCGCCGGTTACTTCGAAAGAACCGAGGCCGGCCGATCCGCGCGACGCCTCGTACGAGCGTCTCTCGTGAGCGCAGCTCGGCCGAAATCGGACCGACTCGGCCAGCTTCGGCTCGACGAGCCTGCGTCGACCTCGGTCGACCCATGGCGGTCGGAGCACACAACTGGTTGTAGCTTTCGCGAGGCAGGTATGTCGCGTGCTCCTTCGCTCGTGCATTCTTCTTCTTTCGCGTCATCTGATTTCGGTGCAACGTTTTCGTTGTTCGTTTCACGCGCCGTTTAACCATTGCCACGTACACCGTCCATAATCCTCGCGCACGTGCCCGACCCGTGATCAACGGAGGAGTGCCTGTTACCGCAGAGAACGTGATTTTCATGCCCACGAACTGTCAAAAAGCTTGGTCCGGTTCGAAGTGGCTGGCCAATACTATCGTGATCACGGTTCGTCTTCGACCGTTCCTGAACGCTGTGCCGGAATAACGTGCTGTCACGTGGGCCTACGCCCGTGAATAATCGCCGACGATTTACGAACACTCCGTGGATCATGATTCCGGACAAACGACTGTAACGTCGTGCACAGCGTAACGTAACGCGTGTTTACGGGTGCTAGTACATACAATCCGGTTAAGCACGTGGTAGCCACGATGCTCCTAAAATTGGCAGTGTTGCTGTCCTTACTCGTGCGGCCAGGTGCAAGTTACTTCAACCTTTTTCTCAGCCAGGCAGAAGTGCGGAAACTAATGGGTAAGCGATGTACAATTCTTTCTTCTAAACCGTCGCCCTGCTTAGACGTCACGTTCTTTGGGGGATGTTGTGTTTTGTTGCGGGGGATGAATGAATATTTTTGTACGCGGTTCTCAATGGTACACTGAAACTAACCGAACTTTATTTTTGTTATTTGTAAGGAATGAAACTAACGATAACGTTTGATTCGTGAGATTTGTTCAATTAAAGATGTGTTTTATTTTGCGGTTGATTTTAAAATATCACTTTTGTTTCTTACCGCTGACTAGACTTTTTTTTATTTAGATACTGTGTTTACATTTTGTTTATATTTGATTGCTAATTCTTGTCTTATTTATTTTCCTAAATAAGATATAATTATTCTTTCTCAAATATTTTGTATGAAATTAAAACTAGCTTTGATCATTACAATAATTTTTTTAATTTAAGTCAAATAAGTCTGTTTTATTTACAGAATGTTGTTAATTTTGTATATTTATGTAGTTAGTTATTCGAATATAAGAATTAGAATACAATGTGTGCCAAATGGAAGAATTTAATATCTTCTTCTATTTTGTATTTGATATTTTAAGATTATAACGTTACAATTTTTTTTTTAATTTTTTGTATAAAAGATGTAAATTTTCTTATCTAATTATTGTTTTAGAAGAGTTTTGTTTTTCAGCAATTAATCACGCTGATAATTAGTAATGTTTCTCTGTGAATTGGTAGTAGTTTGTTCTGTAGAGTTAAATAAACACGTTGAAATATAATGGTGTTTTTATAGGACATCATATATTATATATTGACTTTATACTATTTTTGTACATACTACATTCCACTGCAAAACATAATCGTATGTTTTACGAACGAGGACTACATTCTCAGAGGTTGTGTATAAAAGTTGTTATTATGTTCACCAATTTTCATGTTGAAAGATAACTAGTTGAACGGACTTGGAAACAATTCTTTAATCTGCTCATACGAATGAATTCATTACGCGTCACCGTTGAAAGCCTAACCACCGTCCGAAAGCCTATTAAGGTAACAGTGTTCAGAATTGTAATTGAGTATTGGACAGTGAAGAATTACCGGTGTCAAAGGTTCACAGCATTGAGATTCAAAGTAGTTGTTCAATCTTATCTACAATTACCCTATTGATGATAAATCACATGTAATGTGTAATTACTATTCAATTCACATTCACATTCAATCGTTCTATTATAAGAAAAGCGTCAAAAATTGTCTTAAGGAGAAAATGCATTGATTTTTAAGTATTTTCATAATCTTGATATGTATACTCAACGTTAGTTAATTTCTAACTTTACAGTTTGTTTCGTGATTGATTAATCCTAACCTTAATAAATGCAATTGAATTGCTACAAAACTAATAAAAAATCTGTTATAAAACAAAAATGATTAAAGGTTACTCTTTTTATAAAACACTGAGATATTAAAATATTCTTATAAAGCACAATCTATTAGTGCAATATTTATAAATATTTAATGTATGTGTAAAATATACTCCAAAAATCATAATTTTATCGATTATGTAATAACATTAGACAAAGTAATAAATATCATAGTGCAAAAATAAAATTCACATATAGTCTTAATTCTTATTCATATATCTTCGAAACAATTGATCTAAATCACTAATAAAGATGTAAATATCTGTGAAACATACATTCACAGGAACCAACGAAAGGAATAAAATCGCCTGAAATGATGAATTGATTTATTCATATAGTTAATCACTACATTAAAACCGGTGTGAAAAATAGCACAGATTACATTTTAATGTATTTTAGTATCTATAATAATGTTACTAGGTCTCACCGATTAATAAACAGAAAAAAAGAAAGAGAATTAGTTGAAGAAGTAGCCAATAAAATCGCCACCCCTCAGCAATCATACTCAATAACACCCCCGACATCCTTGGCGCGACGAAACATCTAATCCGTGCGAATACCTCGTCACCACAATTGTCCAATTAAAATACGATTGGCGTCGTCAGTGTCGGAGGGCATGGTTCAACGACCCGTTAAAAAGACGAAAGGATAACGCGGTTGATTCCAAGCACCCCGGCAAATTCGTGCGACGATACCGGGATCGGCCGTTCCATTCTCACGTTCCCGATTTCCGTTTCGTCACCGTGGGGCGCGTATTCTACGGGCAGATTTCATTTGTAGTCGTAGGCTAGCCAGAAATCGTCGTTCAAGCTGTTGCACACGAATCGCCGTACCGGAAACGGGGTAAAAGCCACTCGACGCCGCGAACTTTCCAATATTTCCTCCATAACTTCCACGGCGGTGGATAATTCGCTCTCGGCTCGTTGATCCGCAAAAACCGTTCAGCCCGTTGCTGAGCCATCGGGCCAGCCCTGTGCTGCAAAAAGGGGTTGGAGGGATGGGGCGCGGGAGAAAGAGAAGGAAAGGGTGAAGAGAAACAGGGAGAGAGGGATGCTGCGTGTATTCCGACGACACCTGAACCGGCGCGAATCGGCGAGTCGCCGCGGATTCGCCTTTGCGAGAGAAACGCGCTCGCGCGTGGGATTGCGCGTTTTCAGTCACCACGCACTTTGCACCTCGTTCCACGGTCGACGACACGCATTTCATATGCATCCGAACAGCCTCTCCGGCCAACTTGAGCGTGCTCGCGTCAAGAGCTTCGCGTGAAATCGAATTGTGTGTAGCGTTGCCGCGCCACGCCACGCCACGCCATGCCGAGTTGTTCGACCCAATGGAAGCAATCGGTTTGCACGCCTTGCTAAATAGCAAGGCGTTATTAATTGCACCTATAAATTCGGAGCGCGTTAGCCGTTCGCCAGCATGCACCGAGGTACTAAAGAAATTTTCTGAGGTCTTTTTTGTTCGGCACTCGGTCTTAAAAACGTTCGATATAAACCTTCTATATTTAATTGGATTTCGTTTGTCTAATCGGCACGGTTGGGATCGTTCATACATCCTCGAGTGCCTTTCTACGGCTTTATGAAAATTAGCTCGTGCGGTTATTGTGTTTGAACCGTTAGCAGGGGGTAACAAGTATATTCGTTATTTATGTTCGTCTTTATCTTTGTCTGGTTTGTAGCGTTTACATTTATCTACGCGGTGGTTTAGAAATTAAAAGTCACCGTAGGTAATATCCGTAGGAATGTAAATTAAAGTGTATTTAGTATTGGATAAACCGCTTTAGCGTATTATCGTTTTTTGTCGTATGTGTATGCGAGTAGCCGTGAATACGTGGTTTAGCGGAAAAAAACATTTATGTTTTTCTATATTTGCTCCAAAACTTTGATGTGAGATCAGTCGAGAATGTCGAATATTTTGTCGGTGATACTGTTTGGAAAAGAATCTGGATGAAATATTATTGAAGATATTTGCATTTGGACAAATGTCGATACAATATATTTAAAAAAACTCTTTACTCAAAAGCAAGGAAATTTTATGTTACTTATTTTTACATGTAAGTAGAATGTACCGCTTGTATTTCGTCAAAAAATAGCCGAGTTCACGTGTTATTGGCAAATATTCGTGATTGAATGCTTTTTCAAAAATATTTCAAATAGAAAAGTGTTATAATATGCTTCCAATTTATTTTTTGAGTCACATTTTATGAAGTTAATCCATCTATTATATATTCATATAATATTTAATTCTAAAATTCGTGCTTGTTTATTTTTTTTTATTGTTATTCTCCGAATACTTTTAATCGTCATCATTTAAGAGCAATTGTTTTTTGAGATTTTGTTAATAAGTTAATTGAGATTGAAGAGTATACATATTTATCAAGAAATTTTTTGCAATATTTTGTGACATGATGAATACACTCGAAATCTGAAATATATTTATAAATTTCAAGATGTTTACAATATTTGAAGACCAAGACAGAATGAAATGAACAAATAGAAAAATATAAATTATTATGGAAGAACTACGTAAAGTGTGCGATTGTTGTACATCATTGTCTATATAAAACAAAACTAATATGCACTACAAAACATAAAAGAAACTTCGTTTTATATTTACAAGTGTAAAAATGTAAAGTAAAATACAATCTATAATAAATTTAAATAAAGCATATTTTGCATAATATCCCATGTTTTACAAATTGTATCCTTTCATATAGCAGAAATATAAATTACATTTCTGGACCACTTGTTTCATTGTACAAAAAAGATAGTAATTATTTCGTTGATTTACTTAGCAAACCTTGAAAATTTATGTTCGAAAGTGCAGGATTTCGTGGAAGTAGAACTCAACGCGAAATGTAGCGTAGCGCATAAATTTAGCGTAAACAGATATTAATAGAAATTCTATCCTGATAGAATGGTGTTTCTCGTATATTCTAAGTATGTCTATTTAACATGGAAACAAAATGCATGTATGTTTGAACCGTTATTCATTAGCAAACTCAGCATAACTCGAAAGTTCAGTATAAAAATTACTTTGTACCCTTAAGAGTATGTTTTATAGATAATGGAAGATGACATATTTTATTGCTTGGAAAATAAATCTATGTTGCATAAAATACATATGCTGTAGAACTGTGCCCAACACTGTTTATTCGACCGTAAAGGTCGTTTTCTGGGCGTGTTAACTAGTAGCAGAAATATAAAAGTTAAACATAAAACTCTCATTTAGACGGAAAGATACGATACAGAAATTTATTAATAATTGTATTATATTATATCAGCAATAAATTTTCTTACTATCAACCTTGTAATGAATTTAGCTCTGCAAAGGATCGAATGATCAGAGTAACTAATTTATAATTAGTTAAAATTTTGAAGAATTCTGAATACAATGTTCGTATGTATAAATAAATTTGTTAATTATTTTCCTTCGCAACAGTTTCATAATTCTAGTAGTAATTATGAGAATAGGAATTCAGTATAAATAATTTTTTATAAAATGAATCACATTTCAATTGGACCATATGTTGAAGAATTAAAACTACCATTATAATTAAATCTATATAAATCTTTAACACTTTATAGGCTTACGGAACGCACCAATTTA